AGTGGATTGATGATAATTATGAAGCAGCGACTCCACATGTTGCACTGTGAGCTCTGACTGGCGTCTACTGGCTGTTAACAATGCATGGCCACTGCGCTATGCTCAAATCAAGTGGGGAATATAACCCAGCCTTTGGGCCTAATTGACATTTAATTGTAATTTCTGGAGACGAGCAGTCCATGCATTATGATTTAGAAGAATACATCTCAGCCCTGGCATTTATTCACAATCAGTCTCATACACTTCCACAGTCCCATTGTATCTTTGTCACGCATGACGATTCAATAATAAGTTGGTCACATATCTTTAGTGTTACACATCACGCGTACAAAGACAAAGATCCCCCGTATAGCTTTAACAGACTTTTGGGGACAGTGCTGTGAACAAGCAACTATGAAGGCTGGCACGGCACACGAGGGGGTGGGTGGCCAGCACCTCGCCCGGCCGCCTTTGTCTCCTCAGTGGTGATGTTCACACACCGCACCAGGTACTCATTTGAGGCTGAGTCGACCTAAGGGAGGCCCAGAACGGGTTCCGATGAAAGTTCACAACATTTATTTTTCTGTACTAAAATTTTTAAAAATGCTCCAAATACCATTGTCTGTGCTCGATGAAAGTGAAGACTTCCGCAGTCACACTGCTAACATCGGCGGCGAGTGATACCTCAACTGGTTGTGGGCATCCCCTTCACCAAACCCGCACTGATCATTGTGGTGAAGTATGGTCGAACATTTCGACAACTAACATGACACGAGGTGGCACTTCATCCAACAGTAGATTGACAAAGGGCGGACATTTTATAGCACCGATTAATGCTTCCAAAATAAATTCTACTCATGAAGTGATATTTATTTATTGTTACGTGAAGGATGCAGTATTAAATATTTACTTTAACTAAAATCCGATGTGACCTTTGCATGAAATGCACGACATGGTCACTTACTTTGTGGGGCAATTGATTTATTGATGTTTGTATTGACTGACTTGTGTATTATATTCGTTATTTGAAATGAGTTAATATGAAAAAAGAATGTTATTTACGGCTGTAAAATTCAATCAGTGGGTTTTGTTAGAAAATAAACTTTTGGCTCGTTAAAGTATGTTTTACAACGTTTAAAAAAAATGAAAAGAGGTACTATAGTGATATCGATGTTGCTTGTAATGTGGCTCTGTTTCAGCAGTCTTAAAATAAATAGTGTATAGAGTATTGTAACAGGTCACACGAGTGCATGGGAATTAAATGCAGTAACTTTTAATCAATCTGTGCTCACAAACCTGAGCTAATGTAACAATAAATCTGGACTGGGTGAGTACCGATATGTGTTCTAAAGTCGGGTTGACAGCTGTGGATGTTTATTTTTAATGCCGAAGTGCATGATCATCGTATATATAAATATGTATTTACATTTTCACAACAAAACAGAGATTACATATAATCTGGACCATTTCAAATGTCGCAAAATTTTCATTGAAACTGGCCAGTTTCTGAATAAATCGCAGCCTCCTTATATTTTGCTCTATAAGATAACTTTCCCATAAATCTTGGTAATGGAAGAGTTTTGCCAGACAGAAGCAGTTGGAAACGAGGCACTGAAGAACGTTGGTATGACTTTGAAGGATGCTAGATATGAAGCAATACACCGAAATAGGGCAGCGGTGTGACGATGACTCGGAGGCATCTCAACTGCATGTTCTCTTTAAGTAATTTTAACAAACAGATTTCAGCTTTTTAAGTTAATTTTGTTTAAACAGGTAAGAACTCAAGAGGCTAGATCATCTAATTTGCAAGAGTGACCTGGGGAATGTTTCCACCAGTAGGTGGCGATGATTGCTATGCAAAATTCAAACCATATTTTTTATTTTATTTTACTTGGTATCTCCCACTGAGCTACATAGCTCTTTACAAAGTAACAAACATTTACAATTTGTAAATGTTGTGGCTTCAACACACCAGTGGGCTAAAGCAGTGAACTATTTGTCTTTGTCAACGTGACACTTTTTTACTGATTGGCCGTGTCGGGTGGTGGAGGGTTACGACACATTTATAAATAACGCGATCTAAACCCAAAAACTTTGATAATGAATAACATTGGTCGCGAAAGCCTACGTGTTATACATAGCTCTTGTTCAGAAGCGACCTGACCACGGGGAGAACATGCAAACACCAAATACACAGAGTCAGGATCGGGATCGAACCCGCGACCTCCTGTATGCCAGGCGAGGTAGTTAACAGTTCTCCACCGTGGTGCCCAATTGAGTATTTTGTGGAGTAGTTTTAGAATGTTTCAAATCTGTACCCCGACTCCAGCAGCACACAACGGCCTACTCAAGCGAATGGCGTCAGGGGATCTTTAACGTACAGAAGAAGATCGTGTGGCTAATGAGATGTGTAAACACACATTTAGATTTTTTTTCACGTAGAGAGATAGGTCTTAGTGTTAAATTAAATTGATTGGCGTCCATTAACCATTACACATATTCGTATTTAATCCACAATCGTACCCACCACCCCCCCCCCCCCATAATTCCGAATACAATTTTTACTCATTTACCAACTATATTGTTGAAACTTAATTTGGAGCTTTCGTGACTGCAGGAATTATTCTTTGGTTCTTTCGGTAAAGTCACGTATAAAGATAAAATAATAAATTAAATAATAGCATACTACGACGTTTCGATTGCAACACAAGCAATCATCATCAGGTATAAAAGAAATAGCAACAAAAATCTAACCAGAAAACTATAGACAGACATATAAGCAGACAGATATAAAGATACACAGAGAGAGAACACGTATCGGCACAAAGAGAGAGGTCGTCTCTGTGACGGGGCCTTAAACGTCGTAGTATGCTATTATTTAATTTATTATTTTATCTTTATACGTGACTTTACCGAAAGAAGCAAAGAATACATTGTTGAAAGTTAATCAAATCAATAATTATATTCAAACTTAATAAAAAAAAACACAATCATATCTACACTACGTTATAATAGCATATGCTATTACATGTTCAGATGACACATTTAGATTTTCTGTAAAATACAAGACTGCACAGTAAGTTTAATGCTGTATACACATACACTGCATGTGCGAGTGTGTGTCAAGTAAAGCATCGTTTCATTTGCTGTGCATAAAACAGACATAAGCATACGACAACACGTAACTAACATTGGCTAAGTTAATACCACAAATATACATTTACAGAACGAGGCAGATGTTGGGTTTTTTCCCCTCCCCACATCTCTATCAGTAGGTACATTCTGTTCTCTGCCAGGCTGTCTGCAGTAGGCACGTGCAAGGTCACTGGTGATAGATTGTGGCCGACAGACTTGCGATGAGGCCATTAATCTCCAAGCACTTTCCACCACCCCAACAAGATGCAAGCCTTTGCCTGCTGCGTCGCGTAAGCACGGCCAAAGCACGTGTGCTCTTGCTTCTCCGTTCATTTAAATGTCCGCAGCGAAAGAGAGGAATTATTTACAAATGCCACACACGCATTCCAATGACATCTGGCAATAAATGGGCTGCTTTCAGTTTGCTAACATTAAAGGTGTTAACTAATACAAAGGTCTTCCTTTAGAAAAATCCATTTGTTGAGGTTTGCAGCCTTTAATGCACACGGACAATATTACACCCGGTGCTCTGTGGACATATGTTGCCCTTTTAGACTGGACAATTTGTAATTCTCAAAGGGGGTTTCCAAGGCTCGGTTAGGTAAATTTCATTCGATATAAATACGTGTTTACATTTTCACCAGAAAACGTGAAGTATATGTTAGCTGGATATGAATTTTAAAACTGTTTGAAAATATTTGAAGACATTAATTGCAAATATTTTTTAAAATATAAAAAACACGTTTTTCAAAGTACCATAGCTATTAGTTTTTCCCTTTTTCGTACGCCCGAATTAAAGCAGTCTAGAAGTATTTTAAACAATTACAGATTATCAAACACAAGCTTGAATAACACGGCATAAAAAAAGCTCTCCAAATTCATGGTCTTCAAACACACTGAGTGTATTAACAGCAGACAGCATGCATGCCGTGATGGTAAGCAACGTGCACGCAGATGGTTTTCACATATCGGATAATGTCTAAATATTTTAACTCTCTGCAAATTACAATTATCATCATTATACTCGACTAGAACTTAAAATACATAACATCAAAGCAGAAGTAAATATGCATATTTATCCATTATTTCATTTACATGCATTTCATAGTAGATATGCTAAACTGTGTGTACTAAACTATGACCTAAGTGTTTATCTGAAAATCCATCATTGCATATTGTTCTGTAATGACTCGGCATTGTCTATGCATATGCAGTTGCATATATTTGCTATTTAGTCCACTTACTGCAAAGCTACAATATGTTGTATTCCACAATAATAACTTAATACATATATATAAAAAATAGGTACATTTCTAATTAAGCAAACCGCGGTTTCAATCACTTAATTTCAACTTGTTTAAGATACTTTATATGTCAAGGCTTAAATCATTACATGCTGTTTATGTAAATAATATAACCACATTGTTATTGTTTTATAGACAAGCGTTTCCCCCTTTCCAAATGTCAAAGTCGTTGCATGAATGTCCTTTTTCACCGGCTTCCTGCCAATTATTCATTACAGCTTTATCAGCTGTCAACATTCATAACATTCATAAAGCAGGTGTTGGTATTAGCACTTTGACTGTGGATAATTTCTAAAGATAGGTTATTTGTGTATTTCAAAAAAAATACATTTATTCTTTTCAGAATACTGTCATTATTTGTATTTTTCATTATACAAATCACAAATTGCACAAATGACTTTCATTTCAAAGATAATCATGAGATTGCAATCACAATTGCAGAGTTATCTCCACCTGATTTAAATTATCACGATTAGTACACATTTATGAACTCAGTCTATTTATCTACCATGGTAACAACGAACTCACAATTAGATTTAACGAGGTATGGTAATTCTACAAAAGCCGGTCACTCGAGATGGGATGGATGACAAAAAAAACAAAATGGACGCTTTGGTTGCCGCTGTTGTCGTCTTCCTGTGCAGTTTTGCCGTGGGTCACGCTGAAGGTAATTATTTGTTTATTTTAAACTGCTATTGTGTTGAGATGGGAATTGCCGGTCATCTTATCTCATCTAGAATTTTTTATAGCGCTTTTTGCCAAGGCGCTTTACAAGAGTTAAAAATGGTACATTAGTATTGGCTGATGGGGGGGGGGGGGAAACGGGATGCGATTTGAGTGTTGGGCAGAGGGAAGGGGTGGCAAGGGGTAGGGTGAGTAGGGTGATGGGGGAAAGTAGGGGTGAGGTGAGGAATTACAAGGATGGTGAAGGTTTTAAGGACATGAAATAGTAGATGAATACGCTATTGAAAAAATGAGTGACTGGTATCTTGTGCAGATTTAAACTCTAATTTGAATGTCTTTTGGCACTTAACTTTGGACACAACAAGTGCGTTGTGGTTTACAAAGCAAAACTCTCACTTCTAATTTTGCAAGCCGTAATAATGTTCTTATGGGCTTTAGTGCAACTACTGTTCATGCAAATTTACAATTACGTCTGTATGTAAATGTGATTTCAGTTGTACTGATTTGTATTTTCAATTGAGCTCGATCAAAAAAATGCTTTGCATCAATAAAAAGTTGTTTAACTTAAAGGATAAAAAGTTCTGCCCTGATTGATGCTGCAAAAGTGCAAATTGGTGTTTGGTTTCATTGTGGTGCGTGCAGTTCTCCACAATAGCTGCATATTGTCACATACAGCATGCACTCCATTTAGGGGTGGAGTGGCCCAGCCTTTTTTTATCCTCCTTATTTACAAAGCCAAATTTAGCAATTTTTTTTTTTAGTTTAGTGTAATTTATACTATTCAATTGTTTAAGTTGTAGTAAATGGACATTTAAAACCGCTACAGAAAATTGCAAGCCAATTCTGGAACGCATTTGCAGTGCTGTACTAATTTGGCACGTGCCGTTTCTACACCGCACGGAGTCGCAGGACTGGTTTATCCACTAATGTTCAATCAAACATGTTAATCTTCAGATAATGTAATTGTTATATTTAACAGAAGTGTGAATACTACTAGCTCTGTGCGTGTCTGAAGCATGTGCAAATATGTAGACGACTGGATTGGTGTTTGAACACGAACCTCGTGCAAAATAATGATGATGGTTTGAACGTCCATGTGTGACGATTGAATCGTAAAAAATATTTATGCATGTATGAAGTAAAGCTTCTAACATGAACCCGATTTGAAGACACTGAGATTGTGACTTGTAAATGTTGTTTTCTGCATTCATGTTATGACTCTTATTCTGAAATATTGTGCGTGGGATTAATTATGCACTAAAAATACTCTATTACCTTTCTGTCATTTTCCCCACTGCTATTTAAATATAGTAATATTGTGTCATTACTAGAGGCCTAATAAACACAAAGTAATTACCGAGAAAATCCCTTGCATGTTACTTTGTAATTTGGTGAAGTATACTGCCATAATTACCAATACCTCTTTTAACATTAGTATGCAAATGAAATGCAATTATGAATGATGGGCATCGTGACTTTGAAGTAATTGGTTTGTGGCTTTTCACCCGTTCGCCGTGTCACAGGCGAGGAGGAGGCCGGGGTGGTAGGGAGCAGAATAGTGGGAGGCTTCGAGGTGGTACGCAATTCCCTGCCATACCAAGCCTCCTTGCAGCAGAATGGTGTTCACTACTGTGGTGGCACCCTCATCAATGCCAAGTGGGTCCTCACGGCGGCCCACTGTGAGATTACGTAAGCAATTGAAATCTGTCTCCCTTTCTTTCCACTGCAGGATGGTACTAATTTTCTAACAAATATAGTGCACGTGCCTCCCAAGTCCACGTGCACGTGCGGTGCGGAAGAAGTTCAACATACAAAGATAAAGATCCCCCGTATAGCCTTAACAGACTGTTGGGGCAAGTACCGAAACGATACACGAGGGGGTGGGTGGCCAGAACAACGCCTGACTGCCTTTGTCTCCCTAGCGGTGATGTTTACACATCACACCGGGTACTCATTTGAGGAGGTTGAGTCGCCCTAGGGGAGGCCCAGGACCGGTTCAGATAATCATCACTGGTGTTGGACGTGAGCGGGAATCGAACTCGGGTCGCCGGGTTCATAGTGCAGCACGCCAACTGCTACGCTACGGCTCCCCATAACACATCTATACACACACATACACACACATACACACACATATACACCTACAAAGGTGGTTACAAGTGGTGCTGTCCCCCCCCACACCCTTGTGTACTGTGGTGGCCTTCATAGGTGCTTGCAAACAGCACTTGTCCGAAACGTCTATTAAGGCTATCTTTGTTTTTATAGCGGTTGGCAACCAACCAGTGCTATTCTCCCCCCCTAACCTAACCCCACCAGGTCGTTTTGGCCTTAAATCTTAAATGAGCACCTCGTGCAGTATGGGGGGGGGGGGGTGTAATAGAATCCGCGCTGCAGAGACGACGGCGCCGGGGCCACAGTCTTGTTGGCCACAACTGCCCCGAGTGCGCCGCCGTCTGGGACTTCATCGGTGCTCTCTCTCTCTCAGCATTCGTGCGTGAAAGCTTTCTGGGGGGATCTCCGTCTCTGTGACGAGTCGCGTTCCCACAACACGAATTGGAGTGGCAAAGTCGTGGCCGGGGTGGCTATGGGCTGAGCCAGCATCCCTGCTGACATCCTTGGTTGAGAATCCAGACAGAAGCTGTGGTGTTTAAGCCGAGTTCTCAAGTGGCGAGTTAATTCTGAGCCTAGTCACCGATGATTGCACAGTTACATTTTAGATTTTTCTTACTTTAATTTGTCAAACTCTACCCCTGATAATTAAACGTCTTTGGTTTGATTGCCATACAACAAACAGCTCCTATTGGCATGTGGATAAGAAGGGAAATGCCATGAAGTAAATCTGTGATATCATCTTCTATGGACTTCTTTCTAATATTACGCAAAGTGCTTTGCTGACATGATGCACCGTTGGAATGACATTGCTGAACAGGCAGAGAGTACTGGAAGAGTCGTTTTACCAACTTGTGTTCATTCCTGTTGACATCTTTACACCTGGCGATTATAACCGAAGGCTGGACACTTGAACCCGTGACTCCTGTAATTGGGACTATCTCTTGTATATTGTACATACGGTATAAAGACATGTTTTTTATGCATAATGAATGTGCTGTATTCTCCAACTATGAATTGTATGGATGGAAAATTAATTGCTGTTGTAGTCTAAAGGGACGCAATTGACTGCAGATGTGACTCGCATCCCAGAATTGATTGAACACACGGGCTGCATCGAGCTCTCGTATGTTTAAAACGCCTTTACTGAAAAACGACGAGCCCACAACGCAAAACTGTGCCAGTGGTATGGTTTTTTTGGGTCAAACTATTGCACGGTTCAATGATGTGTTTCCCCTTCAGCGATTCTAGCGTCTTTGATGCTCTGACGAACAATGCAGTTGTAGCTCGGGTACGATGTCTGCATGAGCTTCGTCATCGTATGCCTCCCATTCGCGCGGGGATTCGAGTGGCAACATTGCTGCTGTGCTAATGCTTAATTGCCAAATTACGTCGCAGCATTTCGCTGCGGACAACTAGTTTTAATTTAAATGCACATGGCATTTGTATGAAAACTGGTAGATACAGTATTGTTTTCAAGGCATATACATTGGTGCTTCTGACATATCAGACAAAAGATTGCCTCTTTTGATGCATTGACATTCGATTACAATGTGTCAAATTTGTTTTATAGTAGCCGCTACTTGCGTGTCAGAATGCTGCCATGGGGTGATGGTTAGCACACTGGTCTCGCAAACCGGAGGTCGCCAGTTTAATCTGCTGGCAGGGCAGCTGAAACAGCACTGCTCTGTCGAGCAGCAGCATTAATAGGTGCACTGAGATCACCTCGCCATCGTGAGAAAGTCGGTCACATGAGCCTCCAGGTTGGCTCTGGAGCTCCCTAGTAGAGGTTCCATCCACCCACAGGGACGTGAGTACGCAATTCCAGGCCTTCAAGTTCATATATACAGGGTGCTTCAATTTCTTAAACACTTAAATCGTTTTCAATGTAAAAATAACTAAAAATACACTGACATGATAACAAATCTTGATTTGAAGCTTTCGTGACTGCAGGAATCCATACTCTTTGGTTATTTTGGTAAAGTCACGTAGGTAGAAATAAAATAAAATACAAATAAAACAAATATTATTTTATTTCTACCTTCGTGACTTTACCGAAAGAACCAAAGAGTGATAACAAATCTATGTTAATAGCTTCAAAAAGTCAGTCTCCACAATTTCGCCATCATTGTCAACACATGCCTGGAATCTTCTCCAGAGGTCCGATGGAATGATGTCGCGTTTTAATTTGTGTTACACGTGCATGCTTGCAAGTATCTGCCACCCACAGGAACGTGCACATCATAGTCGTCTTGGGGGAACACTCCCTCGGCAATGTGGAGGGCAAGGAACAGACGTTCGTGGTGGAGAGGGCCATCCGGCACGCTGGCTACGATTCTACCACTGTCGACAACGACATCATGCTTTTGAAGGCAAATCTGCCGATTCAATAACCGACGTTAATTTTCCCTCGGTTCCCCCGCCCCCCCCTTTCATCTATCCATTTAATCGCCCCCTCTCTTTCATTTGTCTGGTACAGAAATCTTTATAATTGGGTAAAAAAAACATTTACATAGCGATGGGAATGATTTCACTGTTGGCTTACAAAAGCTCACAGTCTCCAAACTGCTGACGGACTAATGCGAGTCGCACGAGCAGCGGTCCAATTGTCAAGTTACTTGGCTAAACCTGAATCTTAAATGGTGTAGTGTAAGTTCTGGAACGACACTAACTGAACGCATCTGCCTCCGGCATGCTCGGTGTTCAAGCATTTGAATTGGCGATGCAAATTAACCCGCAACGCGTCACACTGCTCTCTTGTAAAGGTCCCTGTGATGTGGCAATCGCACTGCGAGCGCCACGGTATTCGTATCGACCGTTTTTATAAAATATTATGATCATTATTGTTAATCAATTTTTTTTGCATTTAAATTCTTGACCCTAATGTTTGGAAAAAAAAAATTTCTAAAGCAATAGCTATGACCAAATTCAATGTTGTATTTAAGAAAGTGGTTTCTGCAGTAAAGTACTAGCTCTGTGGTTGATGTCAAAATGTTGGGAACTCTGACTTGTGCATTATAAACATTATCTGTATCTTAACCAGCTTAAGCCGCCTGTAAATCACGTGACTTGCATGACCACCCCCACTCTGAATGCCTTTTCCCCACCCCCTGTGGAACACAAGCTGCTGCGTGCAGCATCGAGGCCTTTTTGTGTTGCCTCTTCTTACCAATCATCTCTTCTGACATCTTGTTCCTGTTTTTCTGTTCTTTTTCCCATTCTTAGTGTCGTACCATTTTATTTATCAATTACCCATTTTTATTATGTGAATTAAATCCTTGACTCTTGCTGCCCTTCCCGTGGTGTGCCATCGGGGGAACCAAACTTGCGAGTAGACTGCAAATTTGTAATGATCAGAAGACTCGCAGGAGGCTTTTGTTGAGTGAACTGTAGTTGAACTTTTTAATCATCTTTTTACTGGAAGCATCGCAAAGAAGATTAAATTGAAAATGCAATAAAAAAATGCACTGTTGCAAGGGTGCTCATGTTGCGATAATTGTCCATTGTGCAAACGATCACCGTACATTGAACAATATCACAGCGACACTGCCAACCGCCGATGCTTTTGTTGCCCCCCCCCACGATCGATTTATTTTCCCCGTTTTCCACCGCTCGTGTCCGCAGCTGCCGAGAGCGGCCGTGCTGAATGCCGCCGTACAGCCTATGCAGCTGCCCCGAGCAGGCGCTCGCTTGGAGGACGAGACCTCGTGCCTCGCGTCGGGCTGGGGCACGGTGGGCAACGGCGTGATGCCCGATGCGCTGAGAGCGGTCTACCTGGACACGACGTCGCGCAGCTACTGCAACGATGCCTACAGCGGCACCCTCACGGACAACATGTTCTGTGCCATCTATGCGGCAGGAGGGAGAGATGCCTGCCAGGTAAGCTCTTTGCGTTCTCATTTGTTGCATCTTCTGTTCCATGTCCCCTTCGGTTTTAATACAGCTAATTGGTCTCGCATAGCTTGCGAAGCATGTCATCAAGAGTGGACTCTCCAGAGGTTATAAATGTTACATTAATTCAACGCGAAATGTTACACATGTTGTACGTGCATGCATATTGGTACAAATGTGCCCTTTGAACTTTGTTGGCTGTGACTGGTCAGAATATTTATCCTGGAGAAATCTGAGCCATGAAGCTCCTTTTCACAGATGTCCAGTAGGGACGGGTCAAAGTTACAACAACACTATACAAAAACAATAGGAGTATAAAGTGTAGGAAAACAAACAAATACATAAAAGAAATATTGATTTGATGCTATATAGCCACTTCCGTGACCTCGTCCAGGAGGCCGCTCTCCTGCTATCTTACAGTTGCATGCTAATTTCTCACATTAACATCACCCAGCCCCGGCCACTTTTTTATGACCCCTTGGGCTACACCCATTTCAAACCTTTTAAAACTGTCTGCCTTAGCAGCAGACCATGCTTTCTCACCTGATGACGGACGCTTGTTTTGGGCCCGAAACGTCGTTATTTATTTTATACCTACGTGACTTTACCGAAAGAACCAAAGAGTACGTAAAATAAAGTGTGTGTATATATATATTTAGTCTCAAGTCCAAGCCATTGCTTTGTAGGAAAAGTTTAGGTGGGTTTCCAGGTACCTGGGAGATGACCATAAAATAAATGGTTTCATGTGCCCATCTGTGCAGAGCTCTCTTATGCAGGTTTTCTTTATGTATGCACTTCTTTTGCACCTTACATCGCCAACCGTGCTTATCGGAGGTGCGGACGGCAAACTAAACCCAAAAAGCATTGTGGAGTGCTCCAGGTTTCTCCCACGTGCGAAACAATGAAGAATGGAATTGATCAAATAACCCAATTCGGAACACTCCTGAAAGTTTTGAGGCTCTCGGAGGCTTTCCTCGATAAAGAAAATCGTTTCTATCGCATTGAAGTAATACTCGGAAAAATAACCTGATTTTACAGCCGTTTATCAATCTTCTGTACTTTTTTGAATGAAAGCATCCTTGTCATGCCCATCCTAGTTTGTTTGACAATCCTTCACCATATTGGATACTGAGAGTTTGTGGCAATAGAGGCTCCGAACCCGCTTCAGATGTCACTTTGCCACTGATGTTAGCCGTGACCAGGTCATCCTGGTCAAGGCGCCGCAGCGGGCTAAACCACTGAACCCGAGCGCCCTCCCACCACCACTACCCTTTGTATGATTCTATAAAGTGTCACATCTGACTTGCAAATCTGTCCTGAACCAATGAACTAACCTCACCCAGTGCAGTATCTGTCTACGGTGGAGCCTGTCGATTTGAATAGACGTTCAAGTGTCTGATCTTCTCATGCGGAGCAATGGATTATTAATGTGCGTGTACATTAAATTTCTAGATCTAATGTTTCAAGGGCAGTTTGTGCCTTGTTTTATCTGGTAATCTGTTTTCTCCTAGATGTTCACATGAAACATTTTCACATCTGCCTATACTGCAGTCCTCAGCAAGTTTGATGTGCGACGTTGTCTTGCGTTGGACACGTGTCGGAGCATCCTGTACGTTTCAACTGAATTGTATATTTGTATGTTCACGTTTCACATTTTTTTTTTCAGGGAGATTCTGGCGGGCCTTTGATCTGCAATGGCGCATTGAATGGAATAATTTCCTGGGGCTATGGTTGTGCGTATCCCAATTACCCCGGTGTCTACACTAAAGTGTCAAACTATATAACGTGGATAGAGAATACAATTGCAAATAATATGTAACATTTTCGTAAAGCGACATGCACATTGACCTTCCACCTAGACCTGTTTTGTGAGGTGTGCCACTTGCCTGTAATTCTGAGTCCTCCTTCACCCTTCTATTGATTGCTTTAAGGATTCTACCATTTAATTGCATGGCATTTAACGCTAAATTGTACTTCATGTAGCCCTACCATGCTTACATGAGGTCCAACTAAGTATATATAAAGTACTTTAACTTAGCAAAACTCGGACATTTTACCTGTCAAGTCCAAATCAATTTTTCAGAACTTGCGTTTTCAAATGTTGGATTGTTTTAATGGTTCTGTTTGTATTGACGTTTACAATCTCCTTGTTTGGCAATGTGAAAATAAATTTACCTTAAAATATGGTTGTAAAGCACTTTTTCACTTTAAGGTAACTGATTTAAACTTGACCACAGATGTGTAACGCTATAAAAAAACACGTGTTTTTCTTCTGCTGGTTCGGCAACAATGAGATGGGAGTTTTCCTCGTGCCCACGTATTTCACACCATACATTTTTTTTCCAAGTTAACTTGATAAACACTTTGTATAGTTTAATTATTTAATGTAAAAAATTAGACCATACAGTAGGTTAAGCTAGGTAAAACTACAAATGCAATGAGCGATTTCCGCGAAACGTCGTGTAGAAGGTACATCTTTATTACGGGCACAACACAGGCCAACATTATCTTCTCACTCCGAGTACAACTCTCTGATGTTAGCGTCTCGACTGGCTACACGCGCACACGGCCGATCACTCTGCGCGTTTCCAGTGTGCACGCTCGGCCACGCCGCTGACTGGCGGCGTGTCGACGAGGGCGATGGAAGCCCGCAGGGGATCTTGCACGTGGCCGGACGACGGAGAGAGATGACGGCAAAGAAGATGCCCCCGTGTCGCCGTCACGGATTCGGTGACAAGTGCTGTGAGCGAGCACTAAATGAATGCTGGCGCTTGCAGTCGAGAGGGGTGGGTGACCAGCACCCTGCCTGGCCCCCTTCGTCTCCCCAGTTGCAGTGTTTACACACTGCACCAGGTACTCTCTTGAGGCCGAGTCGACCTAGAGGAGGCCTAGGACTGCTTCAAATGTTCCACAAAGTCACTTGGTATGTTCAAGATTTCACTGCAGGAAATGCACGTTTCTAAACCCCCCTCCCCCCCCCTTATCCATCACGGCATTGATGATGGTTCTGTTTTTCATATGAACGTCTTACACGCCAGGGCATCTCTGCGCTTTACATCGCTATATCTCATACATTTGGAGGGGGGGACCCCTGGCTTAAAATCGCGCATTGGTCTGAGGAGTGGGGATGATTACCTCCTAATTTGTGGGTCATTTTCAGATTTGGCAAAATCTGAGCTCAAGATTTGAAAGTCCAATGTGTTGACCAACATTTATTCAGCAAATGCCTCGACCATGACGATCACCCTTGCTTTTCGGTGAAGAAAAATGTACATGTCTAAATAATATCTTGCTCATTTGAACCATGCATTTCAGTATTAAGAATGAGTGATTTGTTTTATGGACACCCTTTTATGTAGTACATATGTAGTATTCGAAATATGTAGCTATTCAGTTTGCTTATCCAGTTAAAGTTATTGTGTTTTTTTTTGAAATAATCTAATGTTGCTTCCATTGAAATGGATGCATTTTAAGTCTAATCAGATACGGTTCAGCTTTGAAAATGGAACTTGGATTTATTCAAATGGTAATTTAATTGACAATAAACAATTGTAGGATTGATTATAAAAAACTGACCATATAACAAGATAAGCGGGCAATTCATGAGATGAATGTTCTTAGTTTACACAATCTGATGCATGGTCACGTATATACAGTACATTGCTGTATACGACCTTACAGCCATTAAGTACTTCCAGAACTTTCCCATGCTGCACCTAAACCACATGGTACACTGCTTACACATCCATACATTTATTTCATTTGCTGTGATCCAAGAGATTTCATTTGTTTTCCTCATTTCAGAAATTATTTTCATCTGTACAGCCGTTATTATAACCTAATTGCTGAAGATGTTATCATTTATTTTTTCCCTCGTGCATATTACCATAAACCAGCAAAACATTGCTTTGAAACTAACCTGCCTAATGTTTGTGTTGCCAGCAATTGAGGGCGAAAAAAAGCTAATTAACTTTTCAGATTCGGTGATTAAACTTAATTATTTGTTTTGTAATAAACGTACGCTCGGCGAAGATTGTGAGCTCCTTTGCCTTGGTGCATGTAAGGACAGCGATTTTGGGTATGGTTGCCACCTGGCTTGGTTTTTCCAGGATTGTCATCGTTGAGATAGCGGTCCTGGCAATTCTAAGTGCTCCTGGGACCTTTTAAATGCCCCTTTTTGTCAGCTGCCAGATGATACACCATGCAAGACTGCATTTGCGTCTAGTTCTCCCTACATTGAGATTTTTTTTGCTCGGCGTGTGCTATGATTTTGCACCTCCTAGAGGTGGTAACCCTAGTTGTGGTGTGTTCATACATCACAGCGGAGCCTGCACTTCGCTTTCACCCTGGGCTCGCCCCAAAGTGCTTTCAATGAGGGCATCCCCACCACCCATCTGTGATGAACACAGGTAAATCAAACGGGTTGCAATAAATGTTCAGATCTAGCCATGATATAATGGCTGCCCGATGTAATAACATTACTTTCCCCGGCTGATTAGGTTGACAAATTGATGTCGAGAATAAATTTTCTTCCCTGGGCAATGCCTCCCAACTCGCATGTTCACCCAATCTGCCGGTGCTTACCCAGCCTCTTCTCATATGGATGAAAATAAGATAATTGGAAAAGTCTACTGCTCGCCAAGATGTTCTTACACATGATGTACACACGCAAAGCCTTTTGTGAGCCCGTTGCTGGATGAAGATCTCGCCACGCTACATGGGCCATACTTCACTACGCTAGTCGGTGAACGCAGGCAGCAGAGCAAATAGCATCCAATCACATCGGTGGCTTTTGTGGCACTACTCTGCTGCCCAACACGTAGCGCCACAGCCTATAACACGCTCTTACTGCATTGCTTGGTCAAAGACATTTGTAGTGATGCGTTAGCAAGCCGTGCACGAATGTTAGGTTTTTAAATCCTTTATATTAAGTTCACTTGCTTGCTTACGACCGTGCAAAGCTTTCGGTCGTTTTTTAACCCATTTTCCGTGATCCAATCGAGCTGACATTTTGCACACAGACTCGATGTGCGTGACAATTATTTTTCGTGAATTTTTTTCCAAAATTTTACACTGTTTAGGGAAAAAAAAATATTTCATTACCAATTGCTTAATGGTGGCAGACAATCATCTGACCCATAGGTGGCAGCCATCTCAAGCCAGAGGACGAGAGGACTAGCTGCCACGCATATAAAGGATTTAGAGTGAAAAACTTTGTTTTTACGGGTTAATTTTTTTTTTATTGCGCAGTTGAGTGTCGCCCCTCTGGCGACTATCCGGGTTCAAACTGCTTGCTTAAGATTTGTTGCATTCAAGGTGATTTTAGTCACGGACTTAATGGTTTAATAATTGTCTCAATTTGTTTCTGCAAAATGATGCATTCCTGAAGCTTTTATAAATAGAATTCAACAGGTCATATTTAAAATTGATTTAGTCTACATAGAATTACACAATTCACCCAGACTAGGAATGGTATGCCAATATTTGAGATGAGTTAATTTCTCATTAAGCTGATGGCCATTAATTCCAAACTGGTGAGCGTTCTCAGAGGAAAAATATGAAATGATTGTAGGAATGTTTGTAACGCCGACAGGTGTACTTTGCTACAACACTGCCACCAGGGGTCTCATGAGCTGGCATTTTGACAACTTGCAAGCCTTTTACAAAATACAATTTACCGCTAATTTTCTCATCAAACGCCAACCCTGCTTTGAATTACTGCATTGTACATAGGGACATCTTTAAAGTACAACGCTTAGAGGTTTCCAACTTTTTGAGCTTAAAATTTAAAAAAACAATCAACTGGAATTGCGCTTAATGAAATATTATAATTGTGCTGTGCAAATTTTCGATTTAAAGCTTTCGTGACTGCAGGGATTCATCTTGGTTCTTTTGGTAAGTCACGTAGAAGGGAAATAATAAAATAATACAAATAAAACATAATAAAATACAAGTGAGAATTGTATTTTATGTTTTCTTTTTATTATTTTATTTTCCTTCTACGTGACTTTGTGCTGTGCGTTAGATTATTGCAATGGAAGGAGTCTTCAGATAGCTTTTTACATGAATTATTAACCTGTGGAGTCGTGGTCACCAAAATGATTTGTGGCATTATTAATCGGGTTGAATGTTGAATAAATGCCAAATTTGAATATCAAAGTGAAATATCGTTGTAATGTATGGATTTACATATACAAAGTGCTGCAGTCTATACCGCATATAGTATATAAAAGGGTAGGCTCGCTCTGATTAAAAATGTCCTCCCCTTTTATTAAAGTCACTTGCATTAAAAAAACACTTCCACTGAAAATCCAAAGCAACCCGTCATTATTATCATGTCATTTGACATTGGGTAGCGAGGCTTCGGTGGACGCACAGTCCAGTACTAAAATGAGGCAATGTGTAGGGTGGTCTGCAATATTAAAATTATATTACATTTTCATATTTAAAATGATGAATTAAATGTGTATCATACCGTATGACCCAATGAGTTACTCCCATGGTTATAATTCATACATACGCTAAATTAAACTGTTTTATATTCTATTAAGACTGAACTTGAGAATTGAGTAAATTCATACACTGAATTAAATTCCTCAGATAAGTGTTTTAAAATATAAAAGTACATAAGACGGTTGGCAGCTCATTTGTTGTTATAGCCTCAACCAAAGTTTCTGTACGATTCGGCATTATTTTACGATATCCCCACAACAGACTACAGTGCCCTATATCCATAATGCATTTTTTCATTTCAAGTGTTTTGTTTTTGCATATAGCTGTGACTGACACAAGCTAGTGTTTTACTTTACATTACCTTACACATGCAATGTAATGAAGTGGCCCGCAGTGGTAACGCACCACACAATCACAGTACTGATCTGAGTTTGATTCCTCGCCATGGCTAACATGAGCAAGTAATATCTAAATCGTTATTGAACTCCCTCGTTTTCATCAAACGGCACCGATTGGTGTGGTGACGTATGCAGTGCCGGATTAAGCTAGTGCGGGGCCTGTAGCATATGTTATAAAGAGATCCTAAATTAATTAAGAAAACATAAATATTAAAACACAATTCTTTTTTAGTTACATAGTAAAGTAATTGTGTTTATTTGCTATACATCCAGATAATACGACAAATCGATAACCTGAAAAACCCAGTCGTTCATAGAAGTTGAAGGCGGTATAGTACTATAGTAATAGAGCAAGTGCAGAATCACTCAATCGGAATTGATAGCTTGTGAGCATTTAGCGCGGGGCCCTTGAAAGTGCGGTTCCCGTTGGATGTGTAGCTACTTCTGCTCCTCCGATAATCCGGCACGAGACGTATGGTCACACAAGCCCGAAAGACCGACAATGGCATCAGGAGACGCTCATCTCGCAGTGGATTGACTAAGCGAGGCATACATAATTATCGCAGCAGGAGGATTTCTCCACAACTCTGGCTGTCTGCCTGATGATGCTTGTTTTAATTGCCGGCGGAACGTCGCACTCGAATTGTAAATGTTGTGGGCTTACGCTCCAACACACACCGGTGAGCTGAACTCGTAACATATTATTGGCATGTTTTCTTTACGTGACAAACCCCTTACTAATTGGCTGCGTGGGCGGCGGCAGGTTTAACGACGCATTTATATTTACGCGATCTCACCCAAAAATCTCTATTATGGATAATTACCGTCTTACGAATGTAGCAACGCAGCGTGTGCAGGTAGAGAACGAACATGAACGAACTTCGCGTGGCAATCTGTTGCGGATAAGTCGATGTTCGTGCGAGTCCCCTTCCACCCACATCTCCCATCGCCCTCCCCTCTTCATCGTCTATTAATGTCATGCACATGACGGCGACCCCAGCAACTTCACAAACAATTGACCCGCTGCTATTCCTTTTAGCACGTGTAAAACAAGAAAAGAGAGCCGCGGTGGAGCTTTAAGCGCTCACATGGGGTTTGTGTTGTTGTTAAAGGTAATGTATTCATCAAATGACACCCAGAGGCAACCGCGTCACTACTCGGTGTATATTTAAGCAGGAACACACCTTCGGCTATGAGTGGTGGGCCTGTGGGAGGAGGAGGAGGGGGTTGTTGGGAGACATTTCGGCTCTGGATGTTGCATGCGCTGCGCCAAGTTCACTCCAAACTTTGAAAAAAACGAATGAACAAGACTTCTCGGGAGAGCAGTGCATTCGTCGGAACGAAAAAGGTAAATGCGGCGAGCAATTTGGGTAATTCGCGTGCAGGGAAACTTGGTTTGGTGAGAAACGTGCACGGCTTGTTTCCCGTTCTCGATCACGAATGTTGAAAACTCAAACGCGTGTTATTCCGGTCAGCACATGCTATTGTTTTGTTCCTATAAATTATTGGGTACAGCGGTTTGCAGTCTGCATTTCAAGTTGTTTTTGTTGATTGACCGGTGTTTGACAGCCGCGTAATGCGACCACCGATCCTGCTGCAGCTCGTTATCGTAGTTGTGTGATTATTACAGCATCTTGGGGTTTGTTTAATGCTGGTGTTGGAGCTTGTTTGAGCATTTTGTTTTAAAGTGCATTCTCTTATTTGCATTTCGAATGTTCTCAACAATACTGTAGAATACACTCTATCTTGTGATATACAGCCTACATTCACGATGCATTGCCTATACACTGTTCTACTTGTTTCCAAATGGAAGCTGTGAGTTATGCCTGAATTAAGCTGGATTATGACTAATTTGTACTTGGTGGGTTAAGTGAAATGTATTTGATTTATATTTGCATTGTTTTTCGTGACATATCAATGTCCATAAAATAGTTGTAGCTCTGCAGTCTGTATGTGATTGCTCACACAACTACTGGCAGAAGGGCATGCACTAGAGGAAGCTAGAGAGAGTCTCTGTCGAGAATGTTTTGGCCTACTCTTCCACATTGGGCAAATGTTTCAGTCGAGTTAGGAGTGCCCACACTTTTACCCACCATACGCAACCCGTCATGTAGCTAACTGTCAGTGTAACATTCATACTGCTTGGTGGATATCAGTGGAGGGATTTGGGAATCAGTTTCATTGTTTCAGCTGCAGCGCCACAAGAGTGACTCCGTGACCTCTGGATTTCAAGTCCAGTGTGCTCACCATTACACGAGTGGGTACCTAATATACTCAAAAGTTCAATTAATTCCCCCGTACACTGTGTGTGTTTCCACACACATGCACTTGAAGTGTATTCACTGTGAACACGACAGTTCACGTGTAAAGGTCAGCCGCTGTCACATTCCTGAATTGTTTTCCCCCATTGGATTTATTTCTCGAACAAATGAATGAAGCGCCGGTCGTCACAACTCGTTTTAACATGTTCACATCGATAAGAATCTCACATACCAAGCCTAAAAGCTTAACAGAAGCCGTTGCTGATTTCACTCTATCTTGGGTGGCCTTCTCTTAACACACACAAAGACACACGCAGGCACAATGGAAGCTGCGCACGAGTCTTCGTGTGTCTGTGAAATGATGATATCTGAAGCAGTAAAACATTGTAAGCAGGTCAAATCTCTTTTTTGTTCTCAACACAATTGGCGAGTTGCCCTGAACCTTTCCAAATAAGTGGTCTTACTTGCTCTTATGTGAACACCACCTATGCCCAATTGTTGGATAATTGTGCATGCCGTATGGATGTTTAGAAATAAATGTTTTAACTTTAAATAACAGTTTCTGTGAGGAAGTGGAAAAATGCTAAACAAATGTAACGGTATGCTTATTGCCCGTGCGCAGATTTGAACGGTATATTACAAATGTTCCAGTGAATCCATCATCTTAAAAAAAAACTGCAATGGGTAATGCATCCATCACTCAAATTGTGATGGAAATTGATTTTAAAATCAGCCTCAGATCATCTGATATACATATCGCCTGCCACTTGTTTCGTTTAGAGGTCACACTGCTGCTGAGCCAGGGAATGGATCTAGTTGCCAATTCCACTTTTGCAACTTGTGCCAAACAAGGGACACTAATTGCATAGTTGATTGCACCTAAAGTTTGCAGTCTCCTTGAAAATGTGTCTCCACAGTGTATAATTCACGTAAACATATTTATAAGAGGTTTATAAAAATAAAAATAAATCCCTTGTTTATATTTTTTTCAGGGATGACTTTGCTTGTTAATCAGCAATTTTAATACCGCTTCTTTTTCTTTGAGCGCAGGCATAAATAAGTTTCGCTCGTCTTGCCTCCTACGCGCGCATTTGAGATGACAAAGTTCTTTGTGTGGGCTTTATAACCCCAGTGGCGATATGGAAAGGAACATCGAGTTTTACGTCCAATTCAAATGTGATGTCCACAATCCGGCGTCACAGTGTGTGCCCTATTCGCTAATTAGTCCTGAAATACGCGTGCACTAATCACGTTGACTCTGCAAGAGAAAAGTTTGCCCAGAGAGCCTCTCGAAAGCGATGCTACAATGAGCTGAACACGCAATGAATGTTGCTCGTTCTGTGTTGTAGAGTAAATTTGTGGCTACTCCCACTGCCAGGCCAGTGCAGACTAGGGAAACTAAAGTATCTTATATATTAAATTAAAGATGAAGTATCTTTCATCTTTAATTTGGTAGATATCTTATATTGTTAAATATTTTATCATTATATTATTAAAGTAATATTAGTTAATAAACATGATTACATACGACTATATCCTTTAATACAATAAATTAGAATAGTATTACAATAATACCATAATATTATTAAATACGGTAGGTGTCTTATTGAATAAAGTATCTTATATCGTGAGTATGGCAGGCCAAAGTATCTGATGTAGTGGGTCTCTCTGACGCACCCTCTAGTGGAGGCCGCTCTTGGCAGCAGTTGCAGGGCTGCACCTTTGCCTCTGCCCTTTTTTATGGAAATAGTTTCAGTGGCTTTTGGTTGAAAATGTGACTGTGTGATTGGACCATTGCGTGGTTGTTCATTTCCAGATGTGTGCCTTGGCTTGCTGTGCAATGATTGCCCCTTGCTTGTGTAGACGATACACGCTCCTTTTGGTCATTGTTTGGTTAGAATTAACCTAAACTACACTGGCGTTTTATGTGTGCATAGGTGTAAACCACGACAAGTAGACTCCCGTTTTGTACGAATTATTTGTATTGGTCTTTGCTGGCTTAACAAAAGAGGCAAAAGCGCATGTTATTTACATGTCAGTCCAGAGGTACAGTGAGATGAGGGGTGAGGTGGGGGTGGAGAGATTCACCAAAGTAAAATGCTACGCTTATCCATGTATACTTAGAGGCTGACAAGTCAGAAGGAAGAGTTGTTTGACATTCACAATGTAACGTTGACACGTGTCACGGGGGGCTGATTTTACAAAAAAAACCCTCTCAATGTAAGAATGTTTTTGTCGTGTCTAGACTAACTCAAGCAAACCGTAATTTGTAAAGAGCTGAAATTATCCTCGGAAGTCAACTTGTTTCATCCATAATAGAGGTTTTATTGGGCTAGTTCGCGTAAATATATAATGTGTCGTTAAGCCCACCGCCACCCGACACAGCCAACTAGTAAGGGTTGTCACGTAAACAGAACGTGGCCAATTCGTCGCTAGTACAGCACACCGGTGTGTTGGAGAGCCAAGCCACAGTTGTTTACGTGACAACCCTTACTAGTGGGCTGTGTTGGGTGGCGGTGGGCTTAACGACACATGTATATATTTATGCGAGCTAACCCAAAAAAACCTCTTATGAATGATATTGGTCGCGAAAGCCTACATGTTAAACGAATTTGTTTCAGATTGTACAAACTGTGTCACCTTTGTGTTCTCCTGGCTGTGATGCATTGAATTGATGTGCATATTTAGCTGTTTTGTCATCGTCATCAAAACCAGCTACGGTTCTGTCCACATTGGGATGAAGCCCTCCCCACAACGTTGCCATTCACCATGCTCTTGTGATGCCACAATGCTTCTTGTTCATTTGCATGTTCCTGATCTCAGTGCAATATCTCTGCGGCGGGCATCTTCTTGGGTGTGTTTCCTCGTCTGCCTCTCATTCTGTCACCAGCCTCACCCATCTGCTATCGTCTCTTACAAACGATGATTACTGCTAAAACCCACTTTCCTTGATGAGTTAAACACGATTTTTTTAATAACTTGTGTTTGACCTCTAATTCACGTGTTCATCTGGGTGGGTGTCTACGAGCTCTGATAATGGGTTCCAATCTTGGTTTCGGCCACCTGCGCTTAAACCCGGGATTACAAAAACACGGGATTACAAAAATCCGGGATTACACAAACCCGGGATTACACAAACCCGGGATTACACAAACCCGGGATTACACAAACCCGGGATTACACAAACCCGGGGTTACACAAACCCGGGATTACAAAAAACACGGGATTACACAAACCCGGGATTACACAAACCCGGGATTACACAAACACGGGATTACACAGACCCGGGATTACACAGACCCGGGATTACACGAACCCGGGATTACACAAACCCGGGATTACACAAACCCGGGATTACACAGACCCGGGATTACACAGACCCGGGATTACACAAACCCGGGATTACACAAACCCGGGATTACACAAACCCGGGATTACACAAACCCGGGATTACACAAACCCGGGATTACACAAACCCGGGATTACACAAACCCGGGATTACAAAAACACGGGATTACACAAACACGGGATTACACAAACCCGGGATTACACAAACCCGGGATTACACAAACACGGGATTACACAAACACGGCGAGTTGATGATGTTCTCAGTCCAGTCACCGATGAGCACGACTGTGTCAAGGATGAAAGGGCCTCTTGAATGTGTTTTTTACGAGAAGTCTTCTAAAAAATATCTTCTGTAGCCACCCTATGACACATGGGCACAGTGTCCCGTGTGATTTATAAATAGATTCTTTGTTTCATAACATGATGCATTTGAAAAAAAACACAATGTATAGCATACAATAACAGCCTCAAGTTTACACATCGAACAGTCGTCTTTAAATTGTCTATCTAGATTAAGAAATGAATGTTGCTGTTACCATCATATTTTCCAACATTAAGCCGTTGGTTTATATAAGGGGGGCAATTTGAATGTGTTTACCTATCGCATTAACCAAACACTTCTCAAAGGGAGGTCAGAGCTGAGTTTCAGCTATTTGCCTCTCTGCCTTCCGTTTGGTCATTACACTCAGCTCCTGACCACTGCAAACGTCAGTGACTAAATGTAGTGCCTTGACAAATGTTAAAGCGTGGAGCCTGTATTTTCAACATTCTCCTGGACTACCTGCATTTCCCTCATGCTAATACATTTTTTAAGTAGAGTTAAGGTCATGTATGCATTGCTTGAGATTGGGTACGTGCAAAAAGACAATGACTTCTGTTTAACGTCTCTACTTGCCATTACTATTTATTTAGAACTTTGTAAATAACTTAATCTCCCCAAGCCACAGCCATCCCTTGTGATGCAACGAACCACCTCACTCCGGCACGCAAGTGGCACTCATCCAGCAGCGGATGAATGAGGGCTGATGATAACGTTGATGACTGCTCGTCTCCCCCGGGTCCACTCACATCCTTCGCTTCGTGTGCATTCGAATGAATGGGATGTGCGCAGCCGTTTGAAGTTCGGGCGACATGGAGTGGGCTCGCACGTGCCTCCTGCTCTTCCTGACGTTTGGTGCTGCTCTGTCGAATGAGTCCACCTCGGAGGAGCAGCGTGCAGGTAAACGGAGCTTCATTTGCAAAGAAGCAGGGCCACTGTGGGAGCAGCTACACGCTTACTACGACGCTGTTCCTTTTTGCATGATTGTGTTCTCATGATACTTATAAACCTGGTTATAGGATTATAGTAAAATCGATTACAATAATGTAGGATTATTATGGATACTTGTACATTGTACCCTAGTGGTAGTGCCTTATGCCAATAATCCCTACGCCCAAACCATCCGTTCAGCGTCCCAGAGAATATTAATTGAGAAATGAAGTCCCACATTTAAATAGGTGTCTATGCTTGTGCTGTAAAGCTCTCTAATGTGCGTTTTTTCTGTTTTACTGCATGTTGTTTGGAACGATGGCAGTCGATTTTATCCACATGCTGGGAGCTTATTCAGAAACTTAATTGAACAGCGACACGTACTCTCTCAATTATATAGCCTTAACCACCTGTTGTGTGTTTGATGTAGGCCAGCTGATGTTCATTAGCTATCGGCACTTGTGCATATAAGCGCAATGTTTTTATTATAATTTTGTCAATAGGACACTTAATTGTGGTATTTTAAATGAGCTCTGGCTGGTATTGGTTACTGATGAGACTAAACCACTGCGTAAGCCATAAAATATTCACGTACAATTCGCTGAATGGGAAAAAGAACTGTCAACTTTGACTTTGAGACAAAGTTGCCAATAATCTATGCACTGCTTCAGTAAGGGTCCGTGCAGTTTTGAACATAAATTTGTATGAAGCGACCTTGCATGGATTAATCATTATTTAGCTTTTCATGCGCATGAAAAAAAGCGACCACTAGTTAATTTGTCAACATAAAGGCCAACTGGGAATACTACTTAATAATAGAATCCCTCTGCCACAAGGTTTTTTTTTCCTTTTACATAAGTGTCAGTAATTTTATCCACGACTACAAATAAGTTCTTAGCGCATGTCACAATATTCACATCTTTTATAATTGGGATAGTTTATTTCCCAATGAAACATCTTTTGCCAAAACAATGTGAGCTAGCTAAAGTGCTAATGTGTCCTTTAAACAATGAAAAACACAGTTGTTAAAATATACTTTGAAACTTTGTTTAGAGTCAAGTTCAAGCTAATGAGTTGTTGCTAATCTGAGGCTCAAAAGAATAGAGTGCATTTTTTATTCCTCTTGGTGCTGTTTCGTCGAGCGAAACTAAATAAAAGCAAAAATCCATGCAAGTCGGTTCTCGTTCATGCGTGCTTGTTTTTTTTCCGTAGTTGTAGAAATCTGCGATTTCCCCACACCTCCGATGAGCACGGTTGGCTACATATGGTGTGAAAGAAGTTCAACAAACATACGTACATATAAACGTACCTAATCGCACGTCTGCGATCAGCCACCAAATCCCTGCTCGTAACTCCCGCCGACCAGAACCCTCATGGCTGGCAGTGCGTCTGGAGCCGCCTCTCCATCGGCCTGGAACGCTCTGCCGGATGATCTTTGATCCCACCCCATCTCACAAAGCGTTCAATAAATGCTTGACAATCGTCGTTGTTTCGCGTGGCCTTTGGGACTGGGATCGAAATCCACCGGCGCCTGCACACTCGAGCATCACCACAGGCCTCGGGACTTGTGACATTGCCTCTGAAATCTGGAGCTGGCAAAATAAATGTGCTCATTATATTTATAATCATTTCAGCCATGTTCATCCCTTGCTGGATGAAGCCCTTCTCATGATCCTGCATTTTTTTTTAAGATTCATAATTAGGTTTTATCAGTATAACTGCTCGTTATCTTCAATGCGTTACAGTACCACAGAGTAATTGTGAACTATTTATTTTAACTTTAATCAAGCCCATTGATTATACTTATGATAATCGTGATTTCTTTCATTTCCGATTCAATATCTAAAGTATTTGTTTCCACATGTGATTTTTTTTGTTGAACCCATTTCAACAATCACAAGAGGAAACGCGTCTATATAGAGGGGGAGCTGACATGTCTGAAGATTGCACTCTCTGGGTTAGCATCGCATCCTCAATATCTGAAATTGCATCATTAATTGCCATTAAAAAATAATTGTTATTATTTTGAGTCATTGAAATCAACATTAGCACTCGATTATGAGTGCCAGGCGATAGATGGCTAAAACGGCTTAATTAATTTTCTATATATTTTTCTTTCAAATGTTCTCGTCATCAGTGTGAAATGAGATTCAGTCGCTATATAATTGTCATGGCCTTCCTAAACTGCTATTAAACACACGGTACTCTGTGTAAAAAAAACCGTATCCACGACTCTCTGCAATGGAAAACCAGGGGTACAGGATACCCAATTGCCCCTGTGAAAAATGACATTGCAAAAGTGCCTAAAAATGATACACTGACTCGTCCACAAATGAGTGGCAATAAAAGTCGTTTGTTTGCCCTTTGTAAACTGCAATAACAAATGGCCAGAACTGCACTATAATAATATATGTCATTGTGCCTGTTTTGGGTCAAATGACACGTGATGGGTGGCTAATGATGGGTCACTTACCTCTGCAGGCCAAATGGGCCAATTTCCACGTGATAACCAGCTATTCACTGGCTCGGGCTGTCCCTACTCGTTTTTTAGCACTTTTTTTTAAAGAGTGAGTTGAACATTTGACGTGTATCTTCACTTTTTGTGCCACGCATTAACATAAAAAGAAGTCAATTATTTTTTTGCTCAAAGACGCATTGCGGGACGCCGTGCTCTTTCTTCCGTGAGTCAGCCGTTGAAAGAGGACACTTTGCGCTCTTATGGTGGGGTGCGGCGAGTCTATCTATAGGAAAATCACTGTTGACTACCCACAAAGTGGTAACTATTTTACCAACCTCTGGAGGGATGATCGGCTGAGGCAACCCCAACGTGGAATTGAACTCTCACAAGCTTCCGATTGAAAAACTGGCTCACTCAACAGCCGAGTCAGCCCTTTCTGCATGTTTCTCAGGTGGCATGAGATGTATTTCGACAAGTTTTTTTTTTCTTTTTACAAAGATAGCACCGTGAACCTTAAAATGATTGTGAGAAAGTATTTGTAACGCTGCAAGCGTGTTGACAAAATGTTCACACGACAGACCATCTTAGAGAGATCATTGCCAAGCACGAGAGAGCGACCATTGCTCTTTCAATCCTGCTGACACCACGATGACAATTTGTCAGTAATAACAACTCCGGCCGGCTGGTCTCTGAAGCTTGAAAAGCTGCAAGGTCTTTCTAGTCCTCACAGTTAAAATACCAAATGTTGACATCTTCATTTTAATTTTATGGATTTTTCTTAGTTTCGTACTCAATAATGATAATACTAGTTACCGATGCAATGAAAAAATGAAAGTGTTCACGTTGATCTTGCATACTCTAGTTCATTCATTCACAGCGTTTTAAAGATTGGCGTCTTTGAAGTTATTTCCTTAATTTTTAAGCCGCATATGGAAACAATTATAACAGAGTAAAAAGTGCCCTGCAATACAGATGACATGTTTAATCAGCAGCAAGTCTAATAACCTGCCAATTTGTATGCATGTAATGATGTCCACTTGATTTTTTTTTACAAAATAGGACCTTTTTTGCCAGTATCAAAGTATGAAAAAAATAAGAATAGGTTTTACCCTTTCTGGCAATAAAACAGGTGCTAAGATGTTCCAACATCTTAAGAGTATCATACTTTGCTACTGGCAAAAAAGGTCCCATTTTGTAGCTGCTCACCTCGAGCTACAAATACCCTGATAGTGACATTGTCTTTGTACTGTCCGCCTTTTGGCGTTCTCTGGTCTGACACGAGTGAGACGAGGCCATCGACAAGGCTGTCTCTGGTGTAGGCCAATCAGCTTCAAAGACAATGCAAATATTATTATCAGAGCATGTTTGTTTGCACGTTCACCACAAGTAGCGTGTGGTTAATGCGAACTTGATTCCTTGCAAAAGGTTTCGATTTGCTGTTTGAACATTTTAACACCTGTTTTATTGCCAGAAAGGTTAAAACTTATTGTAATTTTTTCATGTATATTTTTTTGCTACATTAGCTTTCAAGCAGTTTTAGTAACAAAGGGGTTATAGGGGGCGGAGTGTTATATGGAGACAAAGATAAAAAAAAGAATGACAACAAATACCAAATGGTAAATTACTTGCCCCGGGTTGTCTCTCTCTGTTCGAGTTATACCGCGTTTTGTCCGGCATCTCCAAGCAGATGGAGCGAAACGTCAGACATCATGCCGCGCAACATACGATACAACCCAAAAACGCACCTTAGAACTATACAGCAAAGACAAAGACCCCCCGTGTAGCCTGAACAGGTTGTTGGTTGCAAGTGCTGTTAGCGAGCACCTATTGAAGGCCGGCACGGCACACGAGGTGGTGGGTGGCCAGCACCACGCCCGTCCGTCTTTGTCTCCCCAGTGTTGATGTTTACACATCGCACTAGGTACTAATTTTAGGCTGAGTCGACCGAGGGGAGGCCAATGAACGGGTTAGATAATCATCACTGGGTGTTAGCCGTGAGCCCCCACAACTATACAGCACGACCACAAAGGCTGGCCATTACCATGAATGCACACGGAACTTAGGAATTAGGCAGGTCAGTCCATCCTCTCTTCATTGACCTTCTCTTTACTCGTCACGCTGATGTACCCACAAAAGACACAGATTCCTCATGTAGCCTCTGTAGCCTCTGTAGACTGTTTATGTTATTTTAGACTGTCGGGGCAAGCGCTCTTCGTGAGGGCCTATTAAGGATGATACGACACTCAAGGGAGTGGCATGTCCCGAACCAGTGCAGGTATTTTACAATCATTTCAGACTGAGTTGACCTAGACGAGGCCCAGAATCAGTTCAGTTGTCACTCGCCACTGGTGATGTTTGCTGTGGTTGGGAAACGAATTTAAATTTCTGGGTTCATATAGCAGTGCCCTAACCACTGTGCCACTGCTCACCAAACTGAATGTAACTTGCACCCCCACACACCCCCACACCAAACCTTTGATTAGCAAATGTTTTTTTTTAAAGCATCAGGTTACCATTTGTTTGCACGGAAATGTTGTGGCAAGTATGCTTGCGTGCATTTCATTTTTTTTGACACCTTTGACTTGTGGCCAATTTTCCAATTTGCTTCAGTTAGTTTGCAATTCTCATGGCCAAAGGTTGTTAGGTCCATCTCGAGTCTGCTATGTTGGCGGTGTGCTGGCGTTTTGTGTGTAAAGCTGTGCCTCGCAAGGTCGGCTACCGAGTTTATCTGTCATTTTATCATTTCAACCCAAATCTATTCGTGTATGAATATGTAGGCCAACGGTACACCAACTAATTCAACATGAACTAAGCATAAAAGTTGGTATCACCAGTTATATATATATATATAAACTGTATATATAATTTCATGGAATTGATGGCATATGACTATACTTATGGCATAATTACAAGGTGCAAACTTGGAAAATCAGTAAAGGGACGTTCGTACATGAGGAGTAATTGAAGCGTATACTTAGATGGTTATTGCTTTTGAAATCACATTTCAATCCATGCGATGGCCAATGCCTGCACCGTTCATGGGCATCTGGCGCATTGGTGGAAGACGCGCAACTTTGACCGCATTTGATTTTGCAAAATCGAGTTTTCCTTGTTTCTCCCCCAGGCTGCAGCACGGTTCCTCACGACCTCGTCTTCATACTGGACGGCTCGTGGAGCGTGGGGGTGTCCAGCTTCCACACGGTCAAGGACTGGCTCGTCAACATCACCAACAGCTTCGAGGTGGGGCCCAGGTACACGCAGGTCTCCGTCGTGCAGTACAGCGACTCGCCAAAGCTGGAGGTGTCCTTCAGCGACCGCGCCTCCGCCGATCGTGTCGTCTCGGAGATCCGCTCCATAGGCTACCTGGGCGGCAACACTCACACGGGCAAGGCCATCAAGTTCGCCATGGACGAGGTGTTCGCCTCGTCGGCGCGGCGCGGGTCTGACGTGGCCAAGACGGCGATCGTCGTGACGGACGGCAAGTCGCAGGACAACGTCACGGTGCCCGCGCAGGAGGCCCGGGCGAGCAAGATCACTCTCTTTGCCGTCGGCGTGGGTTCGGCAGCCGAGGAGCAAGAGCTGAGGAACATCGCCAGTCACCCGCCCTCCACCTACGTGTTCTCGGTGCAAGACTACGACTCCATCTTCAAGCTCAAGGAGGTGCTGAAGCAGAAGATTTGCGAGGGTGAGTCCGGGAGCAGTTTGCTGGACGCAAGAGGGGGTTGAAGCGTCAGTCTCGCCGTGCGCTCACGTTAGCAGTAGAGGAGAGGAGGCCTTGGGCGGATTACTGAGGTGGATTCATTAAAATCCACTCACAGTTGTGTCAATTTGCGATATATTAATATTGCATTAATTAATAATTTACAACAGCTATCATGTAAAATTAAAATCTTCGCATTCGTGCTTAGTTATTTTAACGTCACGTGATACATTAAATTTGTAACGTACTCGATATTTTAAGGAGTAAAATGTCTATTCATAATCAGAATCCTTACATTTTTAAATCCTTTATATTAAGTTCGCGTGCTTGCGTGCTTGCTTGCTTGCTTAGGATCGTGCAAATCTTTCGGTCGTTTTTTAACCTACTTCCCGTGATCCAATCGAGCTGACATTTTCCACACAGACTCGTTGTGCCAGACAATTATTGTTCGTGAAAAAAATTCCCAAAATTTTACACTTTTTAGGCAAAAAAAAATGATTTTACATATATTCAAATAGAACGCATTCATGGCTTTGGCTGAACGTCAGAGTGTAAGAGCTCAGAGCGTAACCCGTCCACAGGCCGTGGCGGAGTAGCGCAGTTGGTAGTGCCCTCGCTTCCTATGCCAAAGGTCGCGGGATCGATCCCCGCGTCCTCCACAGGCGAATATATTTTTAAATCCTTTATATTAAGTTCGCTGCCACGCATATAAAGGATTTATAGTGAAAAACTTAGTTTTTACGGGTTATACTTATTACAATTAAAATCAAGTAAATCGGCTCCTTCACCACTGTCCACCAATCCCTTTGTCACCCAGCCGGATTTTTCACGTGGGGGTTTACAGTCAATTACTTGTGCCCCATTACATGACGGGGGAAGGCAGGGGGGTGCAATAGAACTATGGCATTTGACCATACTTCACCAAGATCGCTATTGTGGGTTGGTAAAAGGGAGGAGGGTGCTCAAGACCGGTTGTGATATCGCTTCTCACTGATGTTAGCCCTGGGTGAGTTTTGAACTCAGACGCACCGGGTTTCATCGCGACCTGTATTAACCACTGGGCCAACACTCCTCGAAATAATCTACGTACCGTAACTTCGCTTTAAAAAATGTTGCCGCCTAAGCGTCGCCTGGGACTCCGTAATCCTGATTGTGCTGGACCGCAGCAAATAATTTCATAGGGATTGGTGGTCAATCAATATCAGCTTTGGTAAATGACAGTCATTTTGAAAATCATCAACAGAAATAACAATGTAATTTACTCGTCAAGGAAAGCTCCACAGATGATCGAAGCATCACCGAAGGATGTCTGGCCAATTCCTTGCGAAAAATGCCCAATGCATTTGAGATAACAGATCAGTTTGTTGCAGCCATTTGCTTTGCTGACATCCCCCCGTGCCACCGCTCAGTCCAGAGGATTGGGGGCATTTCACAAATCCGCACGATCCACCTACCTCTGCGCCCTGCAGTAAGAGATGTGTGCCACCGCTCGCAAGCATCATTATTCAAGGGACGCATTCATGGGGTTGATTTGTGCAAACCAATTTTTTTTTTATATTCATCGTCGTCTTGATGGCCCTTATTTATCACCACTCTCAGCATTATCTTTTCTGTGAAGAGAACAAAAAAACTCCCCATAAATAATGTTGTGCTTTGAGAAGGGCGGTTTTTTTTATTGTTAATTCTCCTCTTCTGGTTTTTCTGTCGAGCCTGCGTTGGGAAAACAACACAAGCCGCACGAACCGCTTGCCCTTTTTGCTGATGCAGCTCAAATAGCCCGCGATGCGGTGTGTTTCGCGTTAAGTGCTCGTTTTGCCGCGCCTGTTTAATTCGCCCCCCTCCACACCTTCTCCTCCGACTGTTGCTTTCTTTGTGGTTGCTGCTACTACGGCCAAGTAGCATTAAGAGATACTTTGTACAGTAAGCAAGGGAAACGAATACAGTCGTTTTAAACATTTTCTTGCGGAACATTGCAGGCGTGTAATTTCAATGCACCTTGAAATATGTTGGCGTTCTAGTGCAATTACGTCGTTATTTCTGTGAAAAATGCGCACCTGTTTGTTTGGAATGGGCTAGGCTACATTTGAGTTTTGGTTATGCTCAATTCGCACACACATGTGAAGAATAATGTTTTCTGCAAAACTATTTCTCTTTGTAGAATTGAAACAGCGCCTTGGTCTTATTTAACGTGTCGAGTCAGTGCAATAGGATCACCCCTTGCAAAAAAACGTGTCTGTCTTGGGTTACGTGAACCTTAAAGTTATGCAAACCTCTTAGGGAACTCAATTACAGAGATTTGGAGACTGGCCAATCACATGCATAGGCTAAGATTTTGTGCAGCAAAAAAAATGGTATTTCCACCATTGATTCCACATGTCAATCAATCAATATAATATTTATAAAGTGCTATACTCAGCAAAAAAAGCTGAGATGGATGCACAGATGGCATTGAAAACATTAAACTTGACAGAAGGAGAAGCACATGGATTAGGGGGAAAGAAAAATAAGCAAAACTGCAACATCTCTGAGAGGAAGACGACGTGCCCAAGACATTCTCTCCCCCCCCACCCTGTCCACCTAGAAGTACAACTGGGTTCACCACAGGTGATCTCAGTGGGTTGCATCCACTGGAGTCCAGTGTGGGCACTCCAAACTAAAGACATCTGGCCAGCTTGGGAGACATAGGCCACAATTCCCTTCTATGGAGGGGGTCGCCATCCACCAGCAGTGGCTTAAGCAAACCATTTTAGGGCTGACGCCTATACTGAGTAAATATAAAAATGCATTTTAATTCATGGAATTGCTATTGCTTACATCGATGAGTGTTGGGGGGACTGCATTGGGAGGCCTTCATCTAGCAGTGGAGAGACAAAAGCTGATGATGGTGGTGAGGATCGTTGTCATCAGTTATGTGGTAAAAATATTTGCTTCGCGATATAGGTTTAGACTTGGGATCAAAAACTTGTTATTCTAAATAAAATGTAAAGCTCCTTTTTAATCTGCTGCTGGATGAGGACCTACCTAAACCATTTCAGCCATCAGGGTTGTCGAACATACTTCACCATTCTGGCCAGTGTGTATTTTTAATCCTTTATATTAAGTTCGCTTGCTTGCTTGCTTGCGTGCTTGCGTGCTTGCTTGCTTACGACCGTGCAAATCTTTCGGTCATTTTTTAACCCACTTCCCGTGATCCAATCGAGCTGACATTTTGCACACAGACTCGTTGTGCGAGACAATTAATGTTCGTGAAATTTTTTTTCTAAAATTTTACACTGTTTAGGGAAAACAAATTAAATATTTAATTACCAATTGCTTAATACTGGCAGACAATCATCTGACCCATAGGTGGCAGCCATCTCATCCAAAGGACGAGAATACTCTAGCCGCCACGCATATAAAGGATTTATAGTGAAAAACTTTTTTTTACGATTTACTTGTTATGTCTATTATTACTATTATTACATGATGTTTTGGAGCTTAGCTGTGCGAGCAATTATGAGATAACTAATCTAAACAGGCCAACATTAACTTGGGAGGAAACCTGAAATGGAAATGAAACTACTGCAATTTCAGATGTCAAGAGTATATTACATTACCCTAATAGTATCTATATTTCACCCAATAAATTGCATATTTCTCAAAGGTTTGTTTTCATAAAAGGAGACTAGTTTCTTCAAGGTATGCAAAATAATTTCGTCGAGAAACTATGTTACATTAACTCTAGATATGTCGGTGTAGTAACGACAGTATTAAAAGTGGCAGGATTCTAATCATGTTATTATTAAATGTAGCCTATTGCAGAGGAAGATGGTGTGACGTTTTGTTGACCCAATGGAGTACATGTTAACACCATGAGCCTCATCATCAGCGATGATTAATCCACTGCTGGCTGAAGCCCCCTTCCCTTCCAAGCCATCACCATCTCTCAGGGTAGTTTTTAATATATTTCTACGTAGCAAATAAGCATTGCTTTTTTTGTAGATGCAGTATTTTCTTTGAATCATCTCAAAGTATTATAAAATACCAAGACGCTCTGAACATATTGCTGGTTCAGGTACAAACTACATGGCAGTAAACAACAAACATTCATAGGGTGAAGTGTTCCTTGCTTTTATTGTGATCATTAATTCATGTTTTTGCAATTATTGAATTTACCTGGCTTCATGATGTACTTTCTCATTTTTACAAGTGTTGCTTAAATACATTTATTTAAATAAATAAAACTATGTCCCGATCAACAAAACAACTTCTTTCTTGTAACAATAATACCAGGAAACTGAAGTATATATATTTTTTATGCTATCATAAGAAAACTCAGACTAGCATCCATTACCCTTAATGGTCTTGGCAAAGTCACGGGAAGAGCAGAATTTTTAAAATCTAGATTGAAAACTCATTTCTTTAGAACTGCTTTTTCTGTTTAGTTTATTGTCCCTTCATTCGCACTACTGATTTGCACGGTTGGCTATGTATGGTGCGAAAGAAGTTCACCACACGTACATTATATTCTTGCGTGCGATGGAAATACGTTCAGGAGCCCAATGCTAATGTCAAGGTCCGCTAACCGCGAGAGGGCTTCAGGCGAGAGCTCGTGTAGCTTTGACTAATTTCTTCTCCGTAGAAGGACACAACTATATTGCTTTATGATATGGTCCAAGTTCAACATCCATACATACACAACGTTGTTGTGCCGCCTGATGATGGAATAGCGAAAAGGATCACGAGCCACGTGTGGAGCCACGTATCCTGGTATAAACCTGCAACTCGATCCCATGCCACAGCAAGTTTCTGGATGCCACCTTGTACACAATCACCCCCGTCCCCCCACCCCATAAGCACGCTGCCAATTACTCGTTCCTGCATTTTTAATCATGCTGCCACCCTACCCACCGCCCGTGCCACATCGCAACGTTTTAATTCGCTGCGCTGCAGAGACGGTGTGCCCGACGCGTATCCCCGTGCCAGCCCGCGATGAGAAGGGCTTTGAGCTGCTGGAGGGCATGATGATCCACAAGAAGACGGCGCGAGTGCTGGGCTCCTTGCCCACGCAGTCTGCCTTCTCCATCAGCCAGCAGGACGACATCACAGAGAGCACCAAGTAAAGTGGCCAAAAGAGATGAATACATCGATCGCTCTGTGGTTTTTATATGCAATTTTACTTTTGCTTTAATTAATTTAACCCTTTCCTAGCATCGCACCGTCGTTTTTACAGAGATTGTGCTCACCGCAGATAACTGTAGCGACACGACCGCACTGTGATAGCTGGTGCTAAACTGTACCACGCACTCTCCCGCATGGCCTTGTGGGAGCCGCGGTACCGATAAAGTTATTTTATTTCAGTTTTTATTCCGGTTCCGTTCCGATGACGTACACATACTTCATCGGAACAAAATCGGAAGAAAAACTGATGGTGTACACGTTGGTTATCGTGTACGTCATCACAACAGGAAAGGGTTAATGCGATCTCATTTACATGCTCAAGACAGTAAATGTATTGATGTTGATAGAGTGGTGTTAACGTTAATAAAAAATATTTGATGATGATAGTAATAGTAATAATGCCCAATATCCAGGCTATCCTCATCGAGTCTCGCAGGACTTATTCAGGAAGATCCAGCATTGTAATGTTTAGCCAACGCCACGATTGAGAGTTAGACAGGTGGGAGGAAGCCAGGGCCCCTGAAGGTGTCCCACTCGTACCAAGGCGTTACGCTCAATGCGCCGCTAAAATGAATGATTAAACAAATCAATGAGCTCTACTTGATTTAGGCAGGGAAAAAAGTTACGAGCATGCAATGCCTATTTTCCTCAACATTAAATAATTACACGTGCATGTTTATGATGGCAATGGTGTTTCAGTCATAAAACGATGAGTCTGACGCTTTGTATTGGAAGCATCCCGATACAAAGCCTCTCCGGGCAGGCTTGGTGGTTACTATGATAATGATCCTGACGATGGTGACGATGATGACTAAACTAAACTACTTAAAGTTCTTTTTTAATTTTACCGGGCAAGGCCTGGCCACAAGTGACAGCTCAACAAAGTGGTGTATCACGTGTAAGTTTATAGCAGCCAAATACTCCAAACGCGTCATTGTTCTAATTGTGGATGGAAAACTGGAGGACCCGGAGAAAAATCCACACGACCACAGGAGAGAGAGAGAGACAGGCAAACTCTAAATATACAGCAGCAGGCGTCAGGGTCAGAATCGGACCCACTAACTCTCCTGCATACCAAGGCAAGGAAGTTGACGTCTCAGTTTAACACGTAGGCTTTCGCGACTAATATCATCCATAATATAGGTTTTTGGGTTAGATCGTGTGAATATAAATGTGTCGTTAAACCCGCCACAAGGGTTCGTCACGAAAACAAAACATGACAATTCATTATACCAGTACAGCACACCGGAGTGTTGGTGAGAAATTCCACAACATTTAGAATCTGAGTAATTGTAAATGTTGTGGATTTGAGTAATTACTCTTTGGTTATTTCGGTAAAGTCACGTAGAAAGAAAATAAATTAAATAATAAAATACGACGTTTCGATTGCAACACAAGCAGTCGTCATCAGGGAGAACTACATTTGAGAGAGAGACAAAACACAGACACAAAGACAGACACACAAGCAGAGAGAAAGGGACAACACAGAGAGACACAGACAGACACACAAGCAGAGAGAAAGGGACAACACAGAGACACACAGACAGACACACAAGCAGAGAGAAAGAGACAACACAGAGACACACAGACAGACACACAATCAGAGAGAAAGAGACAACACAGAGACACACAGACAGACACACAAGTAGAGAGAAAGGGACAACACAGAGCACACAGACAGACACACAAGCAGAGAGAAAGGGACAACACAGAGACACAAAGACAGACACACAATCAGAGAGAAAGAGACAACACAGAGACACACAGACAGACACACAAGTAGAGAAAAAGAGACAACACAGAGACACACAGACAGACACACAAGCAGAGAGAAAGGGACAACACAGAGACACACAGACAGACACACAAGCAGAGACAAAGAGACAACACAGAGACACACAGACAGACACACAAGCAGAGAGAAAGGGACAACACAGAGACACACAGACAGACACACAAGCAGAGACAAAGAGACAACACAGAGACACACAGACAGACACACAAGCAGAGAGAAAGGGTCAACACAGAGACACACAGACAGACACACAAGCAGAGAAAAAGAGACAACACAGAGACACACAGACAGACACACAAGCAGAGAGAAAGGGACAACACAGAGACACACAGACAGACACACAAGCAGAGAGAAAGGGACAACACAGAGACACACAGACAGACACACAAGCAGAGAGAAAGGGACAACACAGAGACACACAGACAGACACACAAGCAGAGACAAAGAGACAACACAGAGACACACAGACAGACACACAAGCAGAGAGAAAGGGACAACACAGAGACACACAGACAGACACACAAGCAGAGAGAAAGGGACAACACAGAGACACACAGACAGACACACAAGCAGATAAAAAGGAACAACACAGAGACACACAGACAGACACACAAGCAGAGAGAAAGGGACAACACAGAGACACACAGACAGACACACAAGCAGAGACAAAGAGACAACACAGAGACACACAGACAGACACACAAGCAGAGAGAAAGGGACAACACAGAGACACACAGACAGACACACAAGCAGAGACAAAGAGACAACACAGAGACACACAGACAGACACACAAGCAGAGAGAATGGGACAACACAGAGACACACAGACAGAGACACAAGCAGAGAGAAAGGGACAACACAGAGACACACAGACAGACACACAAGCAGAGAGAGAGACAACACAGAGACACACAGACAGACACACAAGCAGAGACAAAGGGACAACACAGAGACACACAGACAGACACACACCCAGAGAGAGAGAGAGAGACAACACAGAGACACACAGCAGACACACAAGCAGAGAGAAAGGACAACACAGAGACACAGACAGACACACAAGCAGAGAGAAAGGGACAACACAGAGACACACAGACAGAGACACAAGCAAAGAGAAAGGGACAACACAGAGACACACAGACAGAGACACAGGCAGAGAGAAAGGGACAACACAGAGACACACAGACAGACACACAAGCAGAGAGAAAGGGACAACACAGAGACACACAGACAGAGACACAAGCAGAGAGAAAGGGACAACACAGAGACACACAGACAGACACACAAGCAGAGAGAGAGACAACACAGAGACAGATAATTGGTTCTTTTCCCTTCTATCTGGCAACAAAACTGACACCTTTTTGCAAGGAGTCATGTTTGCATAGACCGCAATACCTGCAGTCATAATACAAACAAAAGAACATAACTCTGATAATGTGCACTGTCCCTGAAGTTGATTGGTCCACACCCGAGACAGCTTTCCTTCGAGCCTAGTCTCATATGGGTTGGACCAGATGACGCCAAAAGGCGCACAACTCAAGGACAATGCACCATCAGAGTTTGAGAGCTCGGGGCAAGCATCTACACTATGGGGACCTCATTTGCCAGTAAAAATATGATAATTGGTTCTTTACCCTTCTATCTGGCAACAAAACTGACACCTTTTTGCAAGGAGTCATGTTTGCATAGACCGCAATACCTGCAGTCATAATACAAACAAAAGAACATAACTCTGATAATGTGCACTGTCCCTGAAGTTGATTGGTCCACACCCGAGACAGCTTTCCTTCGAGCCTAGTCTCATATGGGTTGGACCAGATGACGCCAAAAGGCGCACAACTCAAGGACAATGCACCATCAGAGTATGAGAGCTCGGGGCAAGCATCTACACTATGGGGACCTCATTTGCCAGTAAAAATATGATAATTGGTTCTTTACCCTTCTATCTGGCAACAAAACTGACACCTTTTTGCAAGGAGTCATGTTTGCATAGACCGCAATACCTGCAGTCATAATACAAACAAAAGAACATAACTCTGATAATGTGCACTGTCCCTGAAGTTGATTGGTCCACACCCGAGACAGCTTTCCTTCGAGCCTAGTCTCATATGGGTTGGACCAGATGACGCCAAAAGGCGCACAACTCAAGGACAATGCACCATCAGAGTATGAGAGCTCGGGGCAAGCATCTACACTATGGGGACCTCATTTGCCAGTAAAAATATGATAATTGGTTCTTTACCCTTCTATCTGGCAACAAAACTGACACCTTTTTGCAAGGAGTCATGTTTGCATAGACCGCAATACCTGCAGTCATAATACAAACAAAAGAACATAACTCTGATAATGTGCACTGTCCCTGAAGTTGATTGGTCCACACCCGAGACAGCTTTCCTTCGAGCCTAGTCTCATATGGGTTGGACCAGATGACGCCAAAAGGCGCACAACTCAAGGACAATGCACCATCAGAGTATGAGAGCTCGGGGCAAGCATCTACACTATGGGGACCTCATTTGCCAGTAAAAATATGATAATTGGTTCTTTACCCTTCTATCTGGCAACAAAACTGACACCTTTTTGCAAGGAGTCATGTTTGCATAGACCGCAATACCTGCAGTCATAATACAAACAAAAGAACATAACTCTGATAATGTGCACTGTCCCTGAAGTTGATTGGTCCACACCCGAGACAGCTTTCCTTCGAGCCTAGTCTCATATGGGTTGGACCAGATGACGCCAAAAGGCGCACAACTCAAGGACAATGCACCATCAGAGTATGAGAGCTCGGGGCAAGCATCTACACTATGGGGACCTCATTTGCCAGTAAAAATATGATAATTGGTTCTTTACCCTTCTATCTGGCAACAAAACTGACACCTTTTTGCAAGGAGTCATGTTTGCATAGACCGCAATACCTGCAGTCATAATACAAACAAAAGAACATAACTCTGATAATGTGCACTGTCCCTGAAGTTGATTGGTCCACACCCGAGACAGCTTTCCTTCGAGCCTAGTCTCATATGGGTTGGACCAGATGACGCCAAAAGGCGCACAACTCAAGGACAATGCACCATCAGAGTATGAGAGCTCGGGGCAAGCATCTACACTATGGGGACCTCATTTGCCAGTAAAAATATGATAAT